ATTTTGGCTATCAATAATTATATCAAAAGGACTGAGAAACTCTGAAGACCACAGGAGTTTATCAAGGATTGTGGTATACACTACTTCTCTTTTGTAACTTTTCCATTTAGTATATTTCTTTGCAATTTAGTTAAAAGCCCTTACTTGGATTCAACTACAGTATTCCTTGGAAAGTGAAACATCTGCATATTGTGACCACTTGCTAATCGCGTATTACCTTCATACAAAGAAATAGGATTTGTTTTCTTTTTCTTAGGAAACGAGACAACATATCTGCCTCTGGCTGCAGACACACACACAGACACACACAGACCACACACACACACACACACACACACACACACGCACACGCGCGCGCGCACACACACATACACACACACAGTCTTTTCAAACACAAACAAAGGTCTCTAATAAAACTTTGGTGACAGACAAGAAGCACTCAGAAGAATTCTCAGTAATAAAGGTTCTGGATGTGAGCTCTAAGATGAAAGATACTGTACTGTAGGTGGGAGGTCTGGGGATTTCTGGAGACTTTAGAAGCAAGAGGTTTGCAGATAATTTCTGACACTATTGCTTTTACCTTGCTTTGTTTCCCTTTACCTTATTCTCTTTTCCTTCCTTAACCATTTTTAATTTTTTTTCAAAACTGCAAATTCACTGTTGCCACCCACCACACACTACAAGCTGCAAAACCTCTCTGGGAGTGACACCCAAATCTCTAATCGAAGATGATGGTATGTTTCACTGACTTACTCATTAAAGGCGCTGAAGTAATTTTCACCAGATACGATGAAATCAGTGAATGTGAACTTTTTTTTTTGTAAAAATTCTGAGATGGCTTTGAAATGTTGTCAATATCTCATATATGTAAAATAATGTATTTTTTAAAAAGTATCTTCAGAAATCCTTGATTTAACCATCTTTATAAGTAGTTTTAGTAAAGAGAAAAATGATACTATCATTGTTCCATTTCCCTGACATTACTGAGGTAGTCTTTAGTTTCCAGAAGACTTATAATGAGGAGAACCAAGAATATTATGTACAGAGATTAATGCAAAAGGATTAGTCTGATGACAGAGTGATGTCTCACTCATTTGAATGTCTGTCAGCAGCTATGGCAATATCTTGAATTAAAAGCAGTCACTTCAATTGAAGAATCAAAACAGAAAATAATCTATCAGCTTTAAATGGAAAAGTTACTATTATCTTCAATTCTAACACAGAATATCTAAAATAAACTAATATAAAGTAATGAGTGGCTTTCTATTTTCATAAGCAAAAACTCAGTAGTCACATACAAAATTATGAAAGATATTCTACCAGGAATATTCTTGTTTTTCCTTTTTTTATTTAAAAAACTTTTTTAATGTTTATTTATTTTTGAGACAGAGAGAGAGAGAGAGAGAGAGAGAGAGAGAGGAGGCGGGGAGGGAGGGAGAGAGAAGGGCAGAGAGAGAGGGAGACACAGAGTCCAAAGCAGGCTCAGGCTCTGAGCTGCCAGCAGAGAGCCCAATGAGGGGCTCAAACTCATGAGCTGTGAGATCATGACCTGAATCAAAGTCAGATGCTTACCCAACTGAGCCACCCAGGTGCCCTTCTTGTTTTCCTTTTAAAGGGAGTCCAAAGCCCCAGATCTGCTAATATCACCCATTTTTAAAATTTATAATTAAATATGGCTGCATACAACTATTTATGGATTATTTTTCCTCATTAAGCCCCACCTTCCAGGAGAATTCGAGACCTGACATTAGTCTTATCCAGTGGTAATAATAACAATACTTATTATTCATTGAGTGCTTACTTTGTGTCAGGTACTGTTCAGAGCATTTTTACCTCAGTCTTTGCAACTTTTTGAGGTAATAAGTATAATTATTTGTATTTTAAACACAAAGAAAATGAAGCACAGAGAAAGTAAGTCCCTTTCTCATGGTCACACAGGAAGTATGCGAGAGAGCTAGAATTTAAACTCTGACATTCTGAGTAGAGTGCATGCCATAGGCTAATTGTAGCTATCAAAATTCCTCCTGCCCCCAGAAGAGTACAGAGTTCAACAAACTGAAAAGGAAACTCACTATGTGAGATCTTTATTACAAATTAAACTAAATGAGGAAAGTATGAGATATATCTCAGGGGTTGTAGCTTTATGTAAAAAATACAGTAGGTTTAGTTTTTGAGGTTGGTGAAAAACTAAGAACATCATAAATATGTATGAGCACTATTTTGAAAACTCTGATTTTCTTATAATAAGTAAGATTTTTCTTTTTGAATGCTAAGTTTACATACTATCCCCAGGTGATTTTTGCATATAGGTAATACATTACAACTTTCAAGAAAGTACAGCCATATTATTAACCGGATGTATTAAACAGTAGAGGTAAAATCTGAGGGACTCAATCTTATTCTGTTGGAATTTTACTGTATCAAGTATTGATTTAAAGAAGTTGGCCACTGTAATCAGTGTGTTTGTACAGACTGTTCTTGGCCTGCTAGCATTGGTGGCATGGGATTGGACCTCCTGCTTAGTGGCTTTAAAACTTCCCTGAATATTTTACACCCACTATGATTTAGTCACTAAACAACACATTTCTTCATACTCCCTTCTTCAGGTTTACTAAGTTGGTCTGTGTGTGATGGGGAGACATACAGCCTCAAAGGGCATATTAGAAATCCTAGAGGATGAATATTACAACTTGTTTCTCAGTAAGAAATGTGCCTCACTCTGCAAATCACTGTGAAGAGACAAAGTTCCTGATGAGATTGTGCTGTCACCCTCAAGAATTTGGGGGCTAAAAAAGATTCAGAACTACTGGTATTAAAGGCAAAGCATATTTCTAGCATTTTCATTTATATCTTACATACTTCTTTCCTGAAGAAGTTTCCAAAAGGATATTTTATTGCTTTTATATGTAGGGGGTTGCTTCTCAGGTCCATTGTGGGAAGAATCATATGAGGCTGCAAATTTCTTCTCTGAGAAATATGTAAATAAACTAGCAACCAATATCCAATTAAATTATTTCATTGACATCTACTATAGGGGTTTGCCAAATTATGTAACATTTTCACATTAAAATTTGTTTGGATAAGGACATGATTTAAAAAAAAAAAAGGTATGGTTGAAAAAAAAAGCCCTAATAAAAAATCAGTTGTCTATTTAAGAAATTCTGCTGGCTCTAATACAGCCAATTTCTGGCAAACACAGCATATTGCTGATTAGTTTTTTCAGATAGTTCCTACAAGATAGGCAAAGTAGAGAAATGTTCTCTACAGTGTTGGTTGAGAAATGGTATCTAGATGAAATGAGAATATAAAAAAGCAGCACACTTGGGTCATGAAACTATACCTTCATGCATTGCATTGTCCCTTTGGATTACAATAAAAAATGCTAAAAGCACGGTCTTCCAAAATCTGTTATTTACATTTACTCCAAGCATATTATAAGACAACTGGCTGTTCACTAGATCATTCAATGTCCTCATTTAAAATTCCAGGTGACAAATTTCCTCAAATTAAGTGCTTGGAAGAGAGTTTTCCTCCTCCCTAGAAGAACTAGCTTTCCCCCCCCCCCCTTTTTCTTAAGGACAACCATTTAGCTCAGTGTTTCTCAGCAGGGTGTTATGGCGTTTTGAGCAGAACAATTCTTGGCATGTGGGATGGCCCTTCCCACTCCCCCACCCACAACAGCCATTTAGTATCCCTGGCCTTCAGATATTAATGCCAGTCGGGCACTCAGTCACTGTGACCACCCAAAGTGCCCACACACATTTCCAAATGCAGTAGTTGAGAAAACACTAAATGGTTTACTTCCTTTGTTTTGTCTACCAAGAAACTCGATCAAATTTGTCATTAAAAAAAAAAATATCTAGGTAAGAACACTATGTCTTACATATCTGCATTCTAACTTTCTTTCAGTCCTGAACTTCCAGTTTAATTTGTATTTTCCTTGGTTCTGAATTTCATTTTGTATTCTGATTTTATTGTTAAGACAATCCAAATTCTTTGTGGAACCAGAGGAGGAACAAATAAATAAAGACAGCTTGACAGTTCAGAGGCATTCTCCCCTACCCCTTCATTCTTCAAAGTAGAACTAACTAGAAACAAAGTATGTATCCTTGTTACATACAGTACCCACTTTTAACTCCTACAGGTAAAGTGGTAGAAAAACTAATCCTCAGATACTCAGCTTAGAAATAAAGAACAGCAAGCCAAAGAGAAAAAAATATTTTTCAGACATTTGATGAAAGTGACTATGTGTAAATGAAATACATTTATGTAAAGCCTTATTTTTATATAAGAGCAATTTTAAATGAGAAAATCATATAGAAAGTATTTATTACTTTTAACATTATATGAATCCTTTTGCTAAAAATATAAATTCTGTATGCAGCTAGTTCTTCCATGTGTGTCTTTATGTAGGGTGAAACACTTTGAAGGGCATCTAATTATACACTTCTCTTTTTCTGTATGAGCAGAAGTCGTTTTGGTTCTGATTTAACTGCATGATCCCCTCAGATTTCTCAGTTTTTAGCAATCTTTTATTGGGGGGATAATTCAACATTATTAGGCATTTAGATATAGATTTGCCTTTTATTATTTATTTAAAAACATTTTTTAAATGTTTATTTATTTTGAGGCAGAGTGCAAGCAGGGGAGGGGCAGAGAGAGAGGAAGACACAGAATCCAACGGAGGCTCCAGGCTCTGAGCTGTCAGCACAGCACTCAACGTGGGACTTGAACCCACGAACTGCAAGATCATGACCTGAGCCAAAGTTGGATGTTTGACCAACTGAGCCACCCAGGCACCCCTAGATTTGCCTTTTAATATAAAACATAATTTAGTGACTACAGTGCTCCAAATGGTGTTCTGTTTTTCATACTTATTTGTATGTCACTTATAGTCTAAGTAGCTACTTTCGAGGGAGTATTTAGAGAAGATCCTATGAAGTAACTTCTATGAAGATGAGATTAAATACTAAAGATGTCTGTACCCTATGTTCTCTTACCTTAGAAGTGCAAACGGCTATGTTAGCAGGAAGCTGGGAAAACTGCTTCAATTCAAAGACATCACGTGCTGCCCATCGGCTCATGTGATTTTCAGCTTTGCTTGATCCAATCACATTCTGGTTTGAGTGAATATAAGCCACTTCCTGAACGCCATCTAGGAGGTAATTGATGTTTATTAAGTGATGTCTCGTTGTGAAGCAATATGGTTGTGCATATATTTTAAAAATTATCAGCAATACCACTAAAAAGAGGTTATGCTTTATTTTTTATCCTCAAGAAAAACGCTGAATCAGTATGTTAACATCACAATATTCTTTAAAAAAAAAAAATTGAAAAGAGAAAGAGTCCTAATATATTGGTCTAGGTTATCTTAGAAATGACTTTTCAAAAAAAAAAAAATGACTTTTCATTCTCATCTATATGAGAACTTCTGAGATTAGGTAAAAAATCTTTTGATTTAAACCTGAAATAAGGGGTTTTGGTGAAGAGAAAAGTCATGGTGAAGGGTCATCTCTATGGATTTGTTGTTTCTGTTGATTTAAAAATTCTTTTACTAATTTAAACAGCAGTCTAGCCTCATCTATCTAGCAATGGAGTGGAAGAGTGAGGTTTGTGACCAGGAGTTTCATTTGGTTGGCTTTGTTCAGTTTTACTCTTTGTATTCTGTCTTTTTTGTACATATGCCCAGAGAATGTCAAGATTGGGAGCTTTTTAGGGAATGAAAAAAATTAACTGACAGCTTTTATCTGAAAGAAGTTTAAAAAATGGCTACAGTTTTTATTGCTTTGCTCCTAGGTACCTATAACTTACTTTTAAATTGTGGTCCTAAAAAAGAAGGCTAGAACTGAGGTCTGTAAAGGCTCCTACAAACATCCCTGGCAATGAACCTCAGTTTTGACCTTCAACACTTGTGCTGTTTCAGTCTTGAACCTCTCTCAACCCAAATTGGCAATCACAAGAAAACAAGATGTTGCTAAATAAGGTAGCTAAAAGGGCAACTAAGATAAAATTCTCCCTAAATTTCAAAACATTAGGTAGCGTGTATGGCAACAATTAAAAAACTCCAGAAGGATTCAAGGATTCTTCTGGTAGAACATTTACTCCGATTTCTTAATTTTGATGACATGTTTTATGCATTATTCAAAATAGCATTAGTTCCACACTACTGACATCTTTTACACAGTAAAAAACAAAAACAAAACTCAGTTGATCTTTTACAGAACGGTTTCTGCAATAATTCCTCAAACCTAAATCTAATTGTAGCACACACACCAAAGGACAGTCCAGTACTTAGTTACAAGGGTACCAAAAAATATATCAAATTGAACTTTTGAATAACCACAAAAGAAAGCTTGCTTTGCAAATAAGTCAAATACCTATGATTAAAGTTTTTACATCAAACTATCCTTGCTTATATATCAGCTTCTTTCACATAGTGTTTTTGGGAATGAGTCAGATACTTTTAAAAGCAGCGTTAACTCTTAAAATGACTAAACAGGTTCTCAGCAGATGGTGGTGGCAGGGGACACATTTTTTCAATCTCCCTGAATCCCTACATAGAATGGACAGCAATGAGTCAGCAAAACAAAAGGCCATGCACAACACATACAACGAACTAAGATGACAAGATAACCCCCCATAGTTTGCCCTAAAATACAAATAGATGGGGACAATCCACCAATAGTACACCGTGCACAGCATCAGGGTGTGTGTGAAGGAAGCAACAGGGTGGCGTGTGATGAATTTGAAAATAGGAGAGCCTAGAACACCCAGCAGGTGTTCCCCGGAAAGCACAGTGAGCCACTTACTGTGAGAAGCTGAATCTGGGTTTTCCATTCTTTAAAGCTGAGTGGGTACAGGGGGCTTATGAAAAGAAGGCCTGAGAGAATGAAGCAAACTCGCTCTGAGGAACCCCCAAACTGACCCACCAGGGCTCCCAGGTCAGGCCCACACAATGAAGAAAACTGCTGGGAGGGAGTCAAAATGTGCAGGGCAGGAAGATCAGGAAGGGGGGAAAGAGAAGGCCTAGAGCGGAGCAGTGGGCAGGGATAGAGGCAGGAAATCCCACCACGGTTTTGAGCACTGCACAAAAAACCAGTTATGGATCTTTGTGAAACTGGAAAAGATTTCCTAAATTCTGCCTCACTTAAAAAACTCAGGGAAAATACTGTCTATGAAAATGAGCAAGAGGGTCAAATATCATAAAAATTATTACAAGAGAAAAAAGAATAAGCAGCAGAATGAAAACATGCCAGAAACATGTGCTCACAAAGCAGATTAAAATTGTAATTTCAAAACAGGTAACAGACATTAAGAAAATGGTAAGACACAGGAATCAACAACATTAAGTCATAATTAGAATAACTCAGAAATGGGTGACAGGACTCAGGAAAAATTTAGAAGTTAAAAAAAATTCAGAAATGAAGACAACTAGAAGGAACACAGAGGGAATTAACACAACTACTGCTTTCAGAGAATGGAAGGGTATTTTTAAAAAGCAGAAAGAAACAAAAAAAAAAGAAAAGAAAAAGGGCTTGAGATAATGTGACAAATACTGAAAACAGGTAAAGAAAGTTGAATATTTGAATACCAGGTGTCTCTGAAGCAAAAGGCCAAAGCAAAGGAATAGAAAAAGTAAGTAAAAATACTAGTACAAGAAAGCTTTCCTGATATAAAACCCGAGTTGAAACTACATTATGACAATCTTGACCCAAGAATAACCAACAGTGCCAGGGTCTGAATGTCTTTAGGAGATAATTAGGTCATGAAGGTGGAGCCCTGATGAATGGGACTAGCGCCCTTGCAAATAGAGACATAAGAGAGGTGAGTTCTGTCTCCACTAGGTGAGGTCACAGCAGCCTTCTTTAGACCAGGATGAGGGCCCTCACCAAGAACCTGACCATGCTGGCATCCAGATCTTGGACTTCCAGCCTTCAGAACTATGAGAAATAAATGCTTAAGCCCCCCAGCCTGTAGTAGTTTGTTATAGCAACTTGAACAAAGACAAACATTCAAACACAATCTGGTAAATTTACTAGGCAAGAATGAAAAGAAAAAAATTCTTTGGGTATCAAGGGGGAAGAAAAATGACGTGATAGGAAACTTCATGGCAAAAGAAAATGAAGCCTCATGTTAAAATACTTCAGAAAAAGAAAGTGTGAGTCAACGATTTCATATCTGGCAAAAATGACTTTTAAGTATAAAAGGGCATAAATAGTTATCAACAGGAATCTCAGGGAATATTATTCTCATGAGCACTTCCTGAGGGAGCTACTAGAAAATAAGCTTCTGACGAAATTGACAGGAGAGACACTGACAGAAGGACTGAAAAGGAGCACTAAATTTGTAGTTACCTACAGGTCAAAACTAAATGAAGTCTGGTGGGGGGACGGGGACGGTGATTCAGATGGGGCACATGGAGGGAGTCCTGGGGTGGATGACAAAGTTCTCCATCTTGACCTAGGTGGTCTTCCCTTTATCCTGCCACCCCCCATGTCCTCATTTGCACCTCAGTGTAGCATCTTGATTATAGAGCTGTTTTACAAGCTAATTTAAGAAACCTTCCCAGAACTATTTGATTGCACAAAACAAATATGTAACATAAAGTTTTCAAAATGTCTATAGTTACCTAAAAATTTATCCATTGATTCATACATTTGCTCTTGATTGACAACTCTCTCATTTGAAAACTGCATTGATTGTTTTGGCATAAAAGTGCTATTTTTCTTATGGCTAGGTAATTTTGAAGAGAAAACGACCCTATCTTTTAGAGTTTTTCGTGTATGGCTCTGTTTAGAGAAACTGATGTGGCGAACAGTTAAATCATCATCTGAGGATGAAAAATCATCGATAGCCTGAGAGCTACAATCCCCATCTGCTGCATACAGTTGATTTGTTTTCTTCATGGTTTTAGGACAAGTGTGAAGCTCCTTTTTATCTTCCTTTTTTCTCTTAAACCTCAAAGAACTAGTAGGTCTTTGCTTTCTTGCTCTTGACTCAGAGAAAATTTCAATGTCATCAGACTCGTCACTAATATCACTACTGCCTTTTCTTCTCATAATAGATTTCAGGGTCACATTCTCAAGGTTTAATTGTTTTGAAATTAGACTATTTCCTTTGACATCAGTCTTTCTATCATCCCCATTATTTCTTATTTCAACAGGATGTTCTGTTTCAGAACCGTCAGATCCATCCACGAGTGGCTTAAACTTTACACCATTCTTGGGGCATCTCTGAGTTGTATACTGTGTGGGAAAGATGACATCACTATCTTCTGATTCTGTGACGTTCTGTAAAATGTGATGGTGGTCAGCTGTATTTTTTAAATTGTTGCCATCATCAGACTCAGAAGAAATATTTTGTTCTAAAATGTTCTGACTTTTATCAAAGACATATTTTTCATTTGGATTTAGGACGTTAGCTAACCTCTGATGTTTTGAAGTACCAAGAGAGTCACGACTTTTCTGATAACTAACGTCTTTGGCTTCTGTTGAAAGATGTATGGGCTGTTCATCAGGACTTTCATCATCAGAGGCAATATTTCCATCACTTTCCTCAACTGTATTACATTTTGTTTCAAACAATTTAGAGAAACCACACTGGAGTAAGGTAAGCTGTCCAGGAGGACCTGAAGCTTTGCTTGAGTCAGAGGCTTTCTTTTTAGCAGTCTTTATTCTTGAGCTTCCCACTGATTCATCATCACTAAAATCACTGCAGAGATTACATGCTTCTTCTGTCGGCAACTCTGCAGGCTGCTCCAGACCTCTGTGTTCTTGACAGTCAGGGTCTCTAGGCTATAAAAGAAGCAGTCACAGAAACGTTAGAAAATGTCCAGATAATATCAAATCTATCATGCTGCAAGGGAATGAAATTTGGATGGAAGATAACTTATGTACTAATATACCACTTGGTATTTTTTAAAAGTACAACATTTAATAAACAAATGTAAAGGATTTAATATTACAGTCTGGTACACTCTTTTTTCAAGTTGAATAACTTTCCAGAATAAAAGTTTAGAATATGACATAATCAAGTTATCTATAAGGAAAAAACAGAACAGAGCAGTCAGCTTCTAAGATGCAGGGACTGATTCTGGTCTCAAAAGTAAGAAGTACACAACCCATTGTTTTCCATGGTCCAGCACATACTTCCAACCACATTTTAAGAAAAAAATAAATTTTCAGGCATTAACAAAGTAAAGGATTCACAACTGGAAAATGGTTCTAATAGATTAAAAATAGGGGCGCCTGGGTGGCGCAGTCGGTTAAGCGTCCGACTTCAGCCAGGTCACGATCTCGCGGTCCGTGAGTTCGAGCCCCGCGTCGGGCTCTGGGCTGATGGCTCGGAGCCTGGAGCCTGTTTCCGATTCTGTGTCTCCCTCTCTCTCTGCCCCTCCCCCGTTCATGCTCTGTCTCTCTCTGTCCCACAAATAAATAAACGTTGAAAAAAAAATTAAAAAAAAAAAAAAAAAGATCTGATAGGATCCTGCCCATCAGAAATAAAGAAAATATTTTAGATATTTTGAAGTAAAATTTGCTACAAATTTAAATCCAGTATTTATTATTTTTACATCAATTGGAGCTAAATACATCCTTCACTTTCCTAAAGCTGAGGCTTTATTAGTAAACAATTTGGAGAAACTATTATCCAGTAATTACTCCTTTTTAGAAATCCAGTAATACATTTGATGTTTGTATATTTCTATAAAGTTAGAAAAACATTCACCAATATTCCAAATTACTAAGCTGGTATGAATTTACACTTAAATTCCTAAATGCAAGAAAAACCCAGCAACAACATAAACAAAATAAGAAAAAACCTTCTACATGTACATTCTTTACTTCTGAAGAGGGCTTATGATGATAATATAGAGTTTGTAGTATGTGAGATGACAAACTACCAGAAAGATCACAAGATCAAGGATGCAAATAAAATAAAATATCTGTCAGAGAGTAATTCTGATGTTTGGATTTAATAATCTTAAACACACAATGATTACTATTTTTCTATTTAATTTGTTGTTTAATTAACAATTAGTTAGGTTTGATTGGCATATTTAATTTTGGATTTACAGTTTGGTATAGTTAAAATTCTAGTATGGATGCAAATGACTGGTGATTGTTCCCGAATGTGTTCTTATGATACGAAATGTTAAATTAGCCTAAATTATTTTTTAAAGATTTTTAAAAGTTTATTTTTAAAAGAGAGAGAGAGAGAGAGAGAGAGAGAGAGAGAGAGAGAGCGAGAGAGGGCACGTGAACGCACAGGGGAGGGGCAGAGAGAGAGGGGGACAGAGGATCTGCAGTGGGCTCCGTACTGAAAGTAGAGAGCCCGATGGGCTGGGCTCAAACTCACAAACCGCGAGATCATAACCTAGCTGAAGTCAGATGCTTAACTGACTGAGCCACCCAGATGCCCCAAATTCACCTAAACTATTAATTTTACTGATCGTCTGCTTTGTATCCTCGACTTTTTTTTCAAAGACTTTTTTCTTTACACGTTGAAAAATAAAGAAAAAGGAAAAATAGCTTAAAATTATCCCAGTACATGTTTTATAGCAGTTGTAGGCTACAGATTAAAAAATTGCTTACCGTTTCTTGTTTGTGTACTGGAGGCTCCTCTTTCAACCATGTTGTGGCTGTCATGATACCTGCTTCCACTTTGCCTTCTCTCTAAAAGAATGCAAAAGAATTGTAAAATATGGGGTAAAAACAACCAAATAAACAATAGCGATGGCATGCTAAAGCTTAGGATTAACTGAGAGCAGCTTGCTTTAGCTCTGTCTCTAACACGAAATGCTTCAGAAATTGGTGTGCCATCCTTGTGCAGGTCTATGCTAATCTTCTCTGTATTGTTCTAATTTTAGTATATGTGCTGTCCAAGTGAGCACTGCTTTAACTTTCTCTCTTAAATTTTTTTTTTTTAATTTAGTTTTTGAGAGAGAGAGAGAGAAATGTGAGCAGGGGAGGGGCCGGGAGAGGTGGACAGAGGATCCCAAGTGGGTTCTGCACTGACAGGCTGACAGCAGTGATCCTGAAGCTGGGCTCAAACTCACAAACCATGAGATCATTACCTGAGCCAAAGTTGGATGCTCAACTGACTGAGCCACCCAGGCGCCCCTACTTCAGCTTTCTTAATGTTATTTTTCCATTTTGTTAATTAATATAAACTCATATATAGTTTATATAACATTTTAAAATGCTCATAATTTTAGGTAGTACAGAGGTACAGTGGAAGTGTGCTGGGCTCATAAAGTACACTTATTTCTTGTATAAAAGCTTCTTTTTAAGTTAGAAAATAATACTTTCCAGCCAACTCCACTAAAAGTTCTGGTACAGGAGGGAGAATGAAAACAATGTTACATATTTACCCAGTAATAATATCCATAGTAACTATGTCTACACAATAGCTAAGGTAAGGACATATTAACAACATTTCAAACACTACAGATAATGTTGAATATTGGGAATTTGATATTCTAGCCTATATTGCTAATGTATTTATTTAGGTCATATTCATTAAAATTTATTTTATTCATTTAGTTCATATTCATTAAAATGTTTATTGATTCCTTCAGTGTAACAGACATCAAATGAAAAGGACCATCTAATATGAAACTAAAAAAAAAAAAAGATCTTAATTGTATAACAGTCTTGCTACATCCTTTGGGAAAGTATTTATGCTTTTAAAGCTTTTGGTGTATCATTCAGCAAAGGTATTTAATGGACTAGATTCTAGAATATTAAATTCTCCTTCAAAAGGAAATCAATTTATTTTTCTATTTAAGGCTCTGTTTACTGAACAAGGGGAAATAACCACTACCATCACCTGAGTTACAAATGCCCAACTTACAGATACGCATACGTACCGGTGGCATGATTCCAGCCACCTGGTATCCAGGGCAACAAGTGAGAATCTCCCCTATAGAACTCTGGAGAACGATAAATAGTTTGTTGAGATATTTTCTCTCAGTGCCTAGAGGCTGTTACTGCAAGGGAGGTGGGGGGGCGGGGGAGGGGGTCTGCTTCCCAGTACTGCCTTTATTCTTTCAACAGAAGCCAAATGGCTACAACACATGGAACAGGGAGCACCAGAAATCCTCAATCCTGTCGCAACCCTCTTGTGAAAGGTAAATGGCAACTCTGGTCTTTTGTTTCTCAGGCCAACCATGTTGGTATCATCCTTAACTCCTCTTTTTTTCTCAGACCCTATACCTAATCCATCAGCAAATCCTGTCAGCGACACCTGAGTAATATATTCAGACTCCAATCACTTCTCACACCATCTACCATGATGGCTGTAGTCCAAATCACCATCATCCCTTGGCTAGATTATTGCAGTATCCTCCTACCTGGCATTTTGCTTCTGCTTTTGTACTTTGATAGCCTAATTCGTAATATTTAATCTAGATGTATAGGTCAGACTATGTTTCTCTTCTGTTCAGAACCCTCTAATTGCTTTTTGTCTCACTCAAAGTCAAAGTTCTCACGTGGTCTGGCTTCCTCTCATCTCTCCAGCCCCATCTCTTGCTCTCTTGTTCACTCCACTCCAGCCACTAGGGCCTTCCTGCCGTTTTGAAATTATGCTGGACATGTTTGTCCTGCGGGGCTTTTGCATTTGTTCCTCTACGTAGAATACATCTTCCTCCTGCCATCTCCTCAAAGAATCAGTTGCAACCTCACAGTGAGCGCTTCCTTGGCTACTCCATCTAAAACCGCAATGCTCTTTCCTTGACAGTCTCCCAATTTCCCTTCCCTGCTCTATTTTTAAAAATTAGGATACAATTTACATATAACACTGTGTACGTTTAAGGTGTATAACGTGTTTTGATACATTTATATATTGCCATATGATTACCACCATAGTTTTAGCTAACACCTCTATTATGCCATAGAATTAGCATTTCTTCTTTGTGGGGAGAACATTTAAGATCTAGTCCATTAGCAATTTTGAAACGTATAATACAGTGTTATTGACTATAATCACAATGCTGGGCATTCGATCTCCAGAAGTCATTCATCTTCTACCTGCTCTATTTTTACCTTCAGAGCCTGTCATCATAATAAACTCTATGCATCATGATTTTTTCTGCTTATTTGTTTCCCCCAAATAGAAGGTAAGTTTTTCAGTGAGTAGAGCTTTTTGTCTAGTTCATTCATTTCTGTATGCCTAGCTCTATGATATATAGTACTTGACACTTGGCATACACTCAGTAAATATTTGTGAAATTAGCTCTCAATATCTGTCTCTAAAGCGGGACCATGACAAAGGTAACAAAGTTAGTGCAAAGTAGAACTAAGCTGCCTGGACACTTGGTGGGATGAGCACTGGGTGTTGTATGTAAGTGATGAATCACTGGGTTCTTCTCCAGAAACCAATACCACACTGTATGTTAACTAAATAACTTGAAGTTAAGTGAATAAATGAAAAAGAAAAAAACGAAAAAACCAAAACTAACCAACCAAATGAAAAAAAAAAAAAAAGAACTGTCTGGAAATCATCAGGTTAAAAGTGTTCTTTAAAATTTCTACATCTTAAAACATTTTAAAAGGGATTTTCTACAGCCTTTAAAAATTAAAAATGTCTCACAGGAAGTAAAATAATTATTTTACTTTGTGATATATGCTTCCATTATACAGGGCTTAGAATATTTTAAAACACTGTTTGGCCAAAAGCAGCATGAATCTAATGAGGCCTGAATAATTTTGCTATTTATTGTTTATTTATTTATTTTACTTTATTTTTTTAGAGCAAAAGACTGCCCTGTAAGCACGTGGCCTGAATAATTTTAAATTCTTACTCAACAAATATCGCGGTGCTGATAATGTGCCTGGCAAGAAGTTAAGCACATTTTGCTACAAGAAAAATGTAAGACATGGACAGTCCTGTCATTAGTCAACAATCCTGGAGGAGAAACAAGATATACTTAGGACAACCAGAAAACAAGCGAACATCCCATTTAATAACTTGACATACTGAATGTCTTACTTAACATTTGCTTGAGGAATAGGTTGCTATTCTGTTAAAATAGAGGACTCAACTATTTGATAAATAAGAGAAAACAGGAGAAGTAATATAATGCTAACATATTTTATAGATAATAATTTCAAATGGAAAACACAAATACAAGTTGGTATGCTGGGTAGTACTCTGAGATGGAAGTAGGATCTGAGGGGTGGCCTGGAATACTAACAAGGCTACTGATTATAAAAGAGAAATGGGAAAGAAGAAGTCCATGAAATAGACAGCATACTCAAAACAAGAAAAAGACAGGGGGACTTTATTTTTATTTATTTATTTATAAGTAATCTCTACACCCAACGTGGGCCTTGAACTCACGACTCTTAAGATCAAGAGTCGCATGCACTTCTGACTGAGCCAGACAGGCAACTCAAGACAGGAGGACTTTAAATGGGCCACTCAATTCAAATCAAATAGTTACTATAAAATAAAAATTCAGCAGTATACACCAGACACTGTGTAATAGTTGCAATATTCACAGAATACATACGATACACGTCTTCCTCTTAGCCATCTTGCTTACCATGCTTATTGATGTTACATGTTCATTATGTAAGTGTTCTGTTTCACCTCTCATCAAGATGGTCTACATTCTTTAAGGACAGGGACCAATAACTGTTTTTATGAAACTCACTAAATCAAGCAAGTACGTGAAGCTTTTGAAAAGCTAAGGGAAACATCCTTGAGTTTTCTGAGGCTCATTTTCCTCATCTATATGAAAAGGAAGATGATACATATGATATTCCAGGATTTTATGATACTCATATCAATATCAACTGGAAAATAGGTTAATATCTATAGTATTCTGGTATATCAAAGAATTTAAGCAATTAAAAAAAAGATATAAATTTCTGTTTGAAGAATAAAAAACATCTGTATGCTAAGGATGAACACAACTGGGAGAGTTTGAAATATTGGTGTGGAATTTTTATTGGGAACAGAAAACAAAAATCTCCATGAGACATGAGAGTGCATCTCAGGGAGTATTTGGTAACTTTTAATCAAAACACATTTTATAATTTTGTTTATTTAGGAAAGTCTCTCTCTCTCTCTCTCTCTCTTTTTTAAGTTCCTGACTTAGCAGCTGTTTTCAAAATACTACATTTCTCTCTGCCAGTCTGAAAATGGTCTTGGGAGGTCATACTATGTACTATATGTATCTGTATTTGTGTGCAGACATTACTTATAACTATGCATGGGGAAATCTTAGTTTTGAGGTACAATAATTCATTTCCTATTTCTAATAGTAGAAATTGTAAACACAAGGCATTTTTTACAAGAAAACCCCAAAGTTCTTTGAAAAGATACCAGCAGTTATATTTCAAGGTTCCTGTTGGAGAAAATTGTATTTAAAATAGTACTGAAAATGTCAGGCAACAATTTCACACCTCCAGGATGTCCCTTGTAAGACAAGATGCTTGGGACCTTAGTTTGAACAGATTATAAACCCCAAAAAGCTCTCCTCGATGTTCTTTTGATCCTTGAACTGCTTCAAAATATCGCTTGGCATTTTCACTTCCAACCACCACACAGTGAAGTTGCTAAAACAGAAAAAAAACACAAGATATTTTTGAAGTGTTTGCTCCAACAATATGTCAGAATTTCCTGGCATTCTCTGTATATACACAGCTTTAGCTGGAGCAGGCAGAATCTCCTTAGGGAGGAAATTTTATTTTAATTTCGCTGGCAGATGTTGCCATTATGGCGAAATAAATAATAATAAACTGGCCAGTCTTATTGAAGAAGAGATCTTACATTTCCTATTTTATCTGTGTTCTACCAACCGAGTCAAGATCCCATTGCTATGCAATATTCACTTGATGTAAAATGTTTAATGATAAAGGCATGTAATACATCTGAATACACTTTTCTCCTTTCTAGACTCATTACAATAGTAACTACTAAAACTGACAAAAATCATCACTATTTCACCAAAGTTAAATTATAACTTAGTAACTACATGATAACCACATTAGTATCAAACCCTAATTGTAGCCATTGTTATACTGTCAACTAACAGCAAAACCCAATCACTGTTTAGAAACATTTAGGCATCTTTGAAACAATTTGAAATACAGAAGGAATCCTGAAGGACATCTATCACTTTAGTAACATTAGTGTATTTCTTTATTTGCTAGATATTTTGCTAAATATAATCTGATTAACCCCATGTACACTTTAAAATTTCTTGAAAGAAACAAAGAATGCACAGAGTGGAAAATAACTGTAGTCTGTTGTTAATGTAAGGATTAGTAAGAAGTTGCTTTGCACTATACTAAATTACTATAGGCAACTGAAATAATTCTTTTTTTAATTTGAGGGAGTGTGTGTAAGCACGTATGAGTGGGGGAGAGGGGCAGAGGAAGCAGGAAGGGGGGAGAGGGAGAGAGAGAGGGAAGGAGGGGGGTGAAGCAAAGAGGGAGGGAGGAGGGAGAGAGAAAGAGAGAGAAAGAGAAAGAGAAAGAGAGAGAGAGAGAGAGAGAGAGAGAGAGAGAGAGAGAGAGAGATTGAGGGAGAGAAAATCTCAAGCAGGCTCCACACTCAGCATGGAGCCCAATGCAACATGGGGCTCAATCCCACAACCCTGGTATTATGACCCTAGCCAAAATCAAGAGTCAGATGCTCAACCCACTGAGGTGCCCATGAAATAATTCTTATTAATAATATTTATTTTTTGAATACTTACTACCTGTGTAGCATTTGTACATTCTCTCATTTAATGCCTACAACCCTATAAGACATTGCTATTTTCTTTTTGGAAATAAAGACTAAAGTTTGGAGACATTAAGTGCCTTCTCACAGCTGTCTAGCCAAGAAGTGTCATTTCTAGGGGCGCCTGGGTGGCGCAGTCGGTTGAGCGTCCGACTTCAGCCAGGTCACGATCTCGCGGTCCGTGAGTTCCAGCCCCGCGTCAGGCTCTGAGCTGTCAGCAC